TTTAAAAAAAAAAAAAAAAGAAAAGAAAGAAGGGGAGATGGACCTCTCAAACATGAAGGGAAAGAAAGTGGTGCTGGCCTCTCCGGTCACAAGTGCTAGTTCTTCATACAAAAGAGCTAACATTTATTGAGTGCTTGCTATGTGCCAGGCATCTTTGTAGGGATGATCTGTTTCCCTCTTCGTAAAAACTCTTAAGGCCATCGCTATTATCTTCTTTTGATATATGAGGAACTGGGGTTCACAGGGGCTGAGTCATGTGGCCAAGGCCACATGGACAAGAAGTTTAGCAGAACCAGATTCTGGCCCAACTCTCTAAGTCCAGAATCCAAGCTCTTAATCATCATGCGTCTACTGCCCTTCTCTAATACTGCCCAGGCCTCCTGGCACTGCTATGCCTCCAACACCTCATGTGGTATTTGCTGAAGAACAAATGATCCCTTACTACTATCAAAGGGTTCCTAATAATCAGTGACTTGATAAGAACTGTTGAGCATGATTGTACTATGACCAGTATGATTCCAAGTGCTAGTTATAGCATTGAATAAAACAAAGTCCCTATGCTTCAGGGGTTTATATTCTAGATGCCACTGTGCCTACTGATTTCAAATTTTAAAAGATCTCAGACCATCCATCCATAGTGTAGAGGATGGATTACAAGAGAACAAGGGTAGAGGTGAGAGACCAATTAGAAAGTGGTTGCAATAGCCCAGGCAGGAGGTGATGTGAAAGGGTCAAATTTTGGGGAAAATGATAATAGGTCTAAATAGATTGAATATGGGATGCTAAGAAGAGAGAGGCATTAAGGATAACTCCTAGACTTTTTTTTTTTTTCTGAGTAATCAGGTACATGGTGGTGCTGTTTACTAAAAAGAGGGAAACTGGGTCAATGACTCAGGAAGTAAGCAGAATCTATAGTTCTATTTTGGTTTTGTTAAACTTGAGATACCTCTTTGATTCCAAGTTTATACACACACAAAAAAAATGTTGAAATACCTCTTACTCATACAAATGTTTATTATTTTATTATTATTGTTAGTATTATTCCTCTTATTCACACAAATGAATAATCAAATTGGAGCTCAGAATGGGGGTCACAATAGGAGACAGGGCTGGAGATAAGAGTTGAGAGCACCAGGCACAGTAGTGCACACCTGTAATCCCAGCAACTAGGGAAGCTGAGGCAGAAGGATCACAAGTTCAAAGCCAGCCTCAGCAACTTATCGAGGCCCTCGGCAACTCAGCAAGACCTTGTCTCTAATAAAATATTAAAAAGGGTCGAGTGAGATGGACACCATTACCCTAGGTACATGTGTGACTGCATGTATGGTGTGACGCTACATCATGTACAACCATAGAAAAGTAAAGTTGTGATGCAATTGTGTATGATGAATTAGAATGCATTCTGCTGTCATATATACCTAATTAAAATAAATCAATTAATTAAAAAAAAAAAGTTTTGGGAGTTACCTGATATACACAGACAGCCACTGAGCTACAGACACTTATATGGCACCTGGGTAAAATCACCCAGGGAGAGTGTGTATGAAGAGAGCCAAGGACAGAGCCCTGGGACCCCTCTACCCTGGCAGGTTCGAAAGAGGATGAGGCAGAAAGGAAACTGGGAAGAAAGGTCCAGTGCAGCAAGAGTGGGTGAAGAGAAAAAAATGTTTCAAGGCGGAGGCAGTGATCAGCATGTCAAGGCTGCAGGGAGGTTGCGTGGGATGAGACAGAAGGTGAAAGGAAGTGGGCAAATCAAGAAAGGCAACACTTTCAAGGGCTATTCCGAATAGAGTTTCAGAGCCATGGGACAGAACTTGAGAACATGAATTCAGGGAGGCATTTTGCTTTTTGCCTCCCCTGCCCCCCATTGGGAGATAAATCTTCTTTCCATAATAGTGGGAGTGGTTCACTAGAGAGGACAAAGGGGTCATCCAAAAGAGAAAGGATAAATGCAAAGAGCTTGAGGTTGAGGGAGTGGAAGTCCAGGCCAAGTATGTCTGGAGCTGATGGCAGAGAAGGAAGGAATATGGCAGAGCAGCAAGGAAACAGAGGACATGGGGAGGGCAGCGTCGGCGAGTCTCTCTCCCATTTTCTCTGTTGAAAGATACAGTAATATCCGGGCATGGTGGTGTACGTCTGTAATCCCAGGGCCTTGGGAGGCTGAGGCAGGAGGATCGTGAGTTCAAAGCCAGCCTCAGCAAAAGCGAGGCTCTCAGCAACTCAGTGAGACCCTGTCTCTAAATAAAATACAAAATAGGGCTGGGGATGTGGCTCAGTGGTTGATTGCCCCTGAGTTGAATCCCCTCCTCGCAAAAAGATACAGTCCTACTGCAGCTGATCTTGACGGTGAAAGCAAATGAATAGCTCCCAATTATGAAGCATAATCTTCTCACATGTAAGTCCTGAGCATGCGTCCCTGTGATGCTAGGGAGTAGGTGGCAGGGACACAAGAGGAGCATCACAGAGGGAGCTGAGCTCAGGGGTGGAAACCAGTGGAGACCCCAGATGGCTGTGCTCAGCCTCACCCTCTGTTCTTTACTCACAGTGACTGACCCTCATCACCCCTGCTCCTCTTATTCTTTCTCTGCTCCACCTTCCAGAAGTCTGTTGATCCCTGTGGGCCAAGTGAGAGCAATCCTCCCATGTGACTGGTCAACATGGCAAGCAGGACAGAAGGGACACAGCTATGTCTGTGGGGGTGAAATCCTTTAACTGACATTGTAAAGCCTTCTTATTCTTCTGGAAGGATAGAAGGGAAGATCTAGGCATGGGCAGGAGGGGAAGAGTCCTCCAGTTTTACATGTTGACATCTTTTTTTTTTAACATGTGGACTTTTTGTTACAGGACCCACATCCCAACGCAGCAGGTACAATGTGGGGGTCCACCAGGCGATGCTTCCTAACCTCAGTGGGGATCCTGTGGCTCTTCTTCATTTTGAAAATCCCTAGGGAAATTGAAGATGACCAAAAGATGGTGACTATTAAGGGCCAAGTAGCAACCCTTGCTCTCAGTTTGGGAATTGGGGATGTAGTTTGGGAATAGTGAGGACTGCCGCAGTCTGACTGGGCACAAAATAACCGAGCCACCATGCCTTGTAGGTTCAAACAGGAACTCTTTATTCCCCAACTCTCACCGGCACTCTACCCACACTTCCCGGGAACACACTCCCTCCACCCGGCTCCGGGCGCCAAATCTCCGAACCCGGGACAACTAAATGGGAACTCTGAAATATCAGGCAGCAGGATCCGCCCTAATCCCTGAGCCACCCTAATCCCAGAGCAGGGTCACCTTTCAACCATTCCCCCTAGCAAAATGCCAGGCGTCATTCCAACTAAACTGTGGCTCTCAACAAGGACAAGCAGATTCCCCAAAGCACCTGGGCTTTCCTTTTCCCTGTACCTTTCCACCAGAGAACAGGGAGCTCCAAAGAGAATTGGGGTATGGATCTGGGCCCATTAGTCCCTAAAGAAGCTGCATGTATTTTTTAAAGAGGGAATGAAAACCGCTTGGGCCCTGGATCCTTTGACTCATGACTGGGACATCCCGAAAATATGCTGGAGAAGGTGGCCCACTCCACCACTTTCCCTAGAAAAGCTTATGGGTCACCCCTGGAAGGGGGGTACGTTTTCTTTTTTTAAAGAAAGGAGGTGTATGCTTTGCCTTTGTCGATGCCCCAGGAGACCAGTAGCAGCCGTAAGACCCCGAGACCACTAGAAGACTGGCAAACCATCACCTTCAAATATCTGGAAAAAATCCAACGCAGAAGAAAGAGTGAGTGTTGAGGAGGGGAAGGATGGTACCAGGCAGTAGGAACGTAGGGGAGGTAGGGAGGAAGGAAGCGAGAGGAGGAGAAAAGGCAGGAGAATTTCAATCTGGCAGACAATTCTCTCCCCACTCCCAAGGCATTTACCTATCAGGAGTAGGAGAAGAAGGAAAAGATAAATAAATATAGACTAAATATGTCAATCACATAAAATATTACTGAACATTACACTGTATTTACTCTCATCCTCAAGAGTGTACCTGTTCATATTAGGTAAACAACGAAGAGCATGAGTCTCCTTATTTTATAGAACTTAATATTTGAGTTTGCAATTATGACTGATAACCTAGGAATGAATGACTATGTGGCTCTATGCAGTGGTGCATGGCTGTAATGCCAGAAACTCCAGAGGCTGAGGCAGGAGGATCGCAAGTTCAAGACTAGTCTCAGCAATTTAGAGAGGCTCTAAACAACCTAGTGAGACTATCTCAAAATGAAAAATAAAAAGGCTAGGGTTGTAACTCAGTGGTAAAGCACCCCTTGGTTCAATCCCAGTACCAAAAAAAGGTATGAAGTATTAAAAAGAAATGAATTGAGGTTGAGGTTATCTATATGCTTAGGTAGAAAAATAATAAAATACATAACTGTGAAAAAAGTTGGAATCACTGGAGAGGAAAAGATAAAATATTTATAAGAAGGTGGTGCAATCATTGGATAAGAGAACATTTGGATCAGAAGGGGTCTTAACCTGGCATGGTGGCACATGCCTATAATCCCTGCAACTCAGGAGGCTGAGGCAGGAGGATCACAAGTTCAAGGTCAATTTGCCCAGGTTAGCAAGATGCTATCTCAAAATAAAAAGCAAAAAAAGGGATGGGGTTATAGCTTAATGGTAGAGTGTCCCTGGATTCAATCCCAGTACCATGAAAAAGGGAGGGGGATAGTGTGTGTCTAAGAATCACATAGTCCAAGTCCCTTGGCTTTATGGACTTAGAACTAAACATACAGGTGAAAGGACTTGTTGAAGACCACAGTTGGTGGCACAACTGGGACAAGAACTTTGGGCTCCTGATTTCTAGAGAAAATCCATTTTCTAATACACTGTTTTCAAATAAGACTTTTGAGAATATGAACTGGGTAAAAAAACAAAACAAATCATAATAACTATAATAATATCTATTATTTATTGAGCACATAAACCATATGTCTCAAACTTTAAGGTTTAATGATTCAGAGGAACCCTTAGGGACTTAGCATCACCTAGCCTAGTACTCTCATGTGTATATGTCGTCTGGTGTTATTTTTTTTTAATATTTTTTTTAGTTGATGATAGACCTTTATTTATTTATACATGGTGCTGAGAATCTAACCCAGTGCCTCACATATGCCAGGCAAGTGCGCTACCACTGAGCCCCAGCCCTGGTGTTATTATTAAAATTCAAATTCTGAGGTAAAGGGCAAGATTCTGGATGTCTAGCTTGGCATGATGGTACTTTGCCTGTAATCCCAGCTACTCCAGAGGCTGAGGCAGGATTGCAAGTTCAATGCCTGCTTGGGCAAGTCAGTGAGACCCTGTCTCAAAAGATTAAAAGGACTAGGGAGCCAGGCACAGTGACACATGCCTGTAATTCAGAGGCTCAGGAGGCTGAGGCAGGAGAATTTTGAGTTCAAATCCAGCCTCAGCAACTTAGTGA